TTTTTTTTTTTTTTTTTTTAGAGACATAACTAGTACACAGTAAACTCCCTATTTTTACTTTACTTTTTTTCTAAATGACTCTATCTGGAGAACTGTTCTATTAGGTAAGGAAAATAGACACTTATCAATATTGATCCTGTCAGCTGAGAATAGTTATTAAAGTTGAAAAGGCAGCATCCCGGAGCAAAAAGCTAAACTAAAGATAATTTACATGCTAATATCTGAATTGTCACAAACTGGATTCCTGCATCTCTGGACTCCTTTAATAGCAAACTACCTCACCATTGTTCCCTATTACAAGAAATGCAGGTAGCAACACCTATAGTTACAATTGCTCAACTACAATTGTTCAGCTTCCCATTATAAAAAATTCAGCTGTTCCAGCTGAAAACTCCAGAGTGTAGGCCTCAGACTGGGTAAGTCTAGATATTTTCCTCAAAAACTGTTTCAAGAATAAGATTAGCGGAAAATAGTTTTATTTATTAGATTTATATGCCACCTTCCCCAAAAAAAGGCTTATTCTGTCCATTATAACAAATTGGTATACATCTATTTTAATGAAGCTTTATCACCTTTATGCATTGGAGTGCGCTGTTGAAACTGAAGACAGCTCAAGTTATATGCCAATGAATATACTGGAATTTTCACAAACTCAATGGACACATTTTAAGTTTGGCTGTTCAGTTCTCTGGAGACTGTCTGTACTGAGCATGCTTTAGCTCCTGCCTATGATCAGTCTCTGGATTGACCTCATTCCCACAGAGCAACAAGACTTGATTCCATGGCTGCAGGGACTGAGCAAGACTGACTAAGTAACTGTTGCTCCCAGCCGGTATGGCACAGCATGCACTTTGAGAACAAGATGACTATCTTCCCTGTGCTCCTAAAGCTCTCCTGCTGATTCCTGGACCACCAGGAAGACCTTCATCATTTTAGCTACAAGAGTAACAAAACAGTAGTAAATTATTATCCTTTAGGTAAGCCATTCTCTAGAGCAATGGAAGCCAACCTTTTTTGGGAGACTTGCCACAAATTAGCGCTGCACACTCCTTGAGTGCCACTGTAATCCTCTTCCCCTGCCTGATCTGCTACTCTCCCTTTCATTTCCTACCCTGTGCTCCCTGCCCAATCTGCTGCACTGCTTTCTACTTCCTGCCCTCTCTGATCTGGCACGCAATACCACAAGCTGGCTATCCCTGCTCTAGAGCAGTGGTTCTCAATCTTTTTAGATTCAAGGCACCCCTTGTTAGACTAAAAGCTACCCTTAGCAAATGTCAGCTCTTAGTTTTCACTTATTTTTTGACTCCAGAAAAATAATAGAGTAATTCTGCTGCTGCAAATAACTCGGAAAGACCAAAACACATCAAGATACTTTTGACACTATGGATTCCTGTTTTAAATATTTGGGTTTATCTTGTGACTCATGTAGGTGTTTTCACACCTCACAGTACTAATACTTCTTGGGACCCTGTAGCCTCCTAAAAGGATCTTGTGGTACACTGGCTGAGAATCACTACTTTAGGGAAAAAAAAGTCAAAATAACTGCCAGTGCATTTCACAGCTATTAGGTTAGTGCAATAGTTCCCAAACTTTCTTGAGTCCCAGCTTACATAATTTCACATGACCTGATGTACCCAGTTACTGCTTATCTACCTATAACTAGCCAATTGCCTTTCAGAAATGACGGGGGGGGGGAAGCATGCATGCAGGGACAGAGCCCCATGCCCCACCCCATGTGGGCCTGCTCCCCCTTTACCTCCTGCTGCTTGAGATCCAGGCCCGCTCCCCACCTCCCCATTGTAGAGGTGGGGGGAGGGGAGGTGGGGGCCCAGGCCTGATGCAAGGGAAGACTGGGCCCAAGCAGGGGAGAAGCTGGCTCGCCATGTTGTGGGGAGTAGTGGGCCCAACTTGGCAGCAGCAGGGGAATGGGAGGAGTGGGCTCAGAGATGATGGGGGTGGGAAAAGGGGGGTGAGGGAAGGAGGCCCAAGGGAAGAGGAGGCTCGCTCCTCCCCTCCTGCAGCCACTGCTGTGTCGGGCCAGGCCTGCTGCTCCCCACCACCACCTCAGTGGGCTGGTTTCTCCCCTGGCTTGGGCTCGGTCATCCTCCTCCCCAACCCCGTGTGGGAGCCAGACCCACTCCTCCCTCCCCCTACCACCGCGGCACACCCACTATTCCCCCAACCCGCATCGGGCCCGTTCCTCCCCCCACCGCTGCCGCATCGTCCCGCGTCGGGCCCTACAGGCAGTGACAATGGAAGGGCCAGTGGCCTCAGCCCCTGCCCTCATGGCATCCCGACCCCGCTCCCACCCTGTGCCACCACTGCCATCACCTGCAAGAAGTAAGGGGAGGGATGAGGCCACCCCTACCCTCCGTTCCATCACTGCTATTTGCAGGGAGCAGGGCAAGTGGGGCGAGCACTGTTGGCCTTGCTCCCTCTGTTCCATCCGCTCCACTGCCCTCGGCCCCCCTGCCCTGCTCCCTGCAGGCAGCAATGACGTAGTGGAAGGCAGGGAGTAAGGCCACCAGAGCTGGCCTCACCCCCAACCTTTACTCTTTGCAGATGATGGCAGTGATGGTTTGGGGGGGGGGGGGGGGGGGGGGGGGGGGGCTTTTT